TGCCTTGAAATCCCCCTGAATCATATTTCTGTAAAATTTCACAAAATTTTATGCCTTCCAGAAACAAAACTGTATTTTTATTCCACAGAGCCAATTTCTATCTGCTTATGGTTTGTTTTAACCCATCCATCCCTTCTGCATATTTTTCCTTTTGCCTCCTCCCTCTTTTATCCCTTTCTTTAATCCATGTGTAACAGGTATCATACAAAAATAGTGCTGTGAGAACTTATGCTAGCTTTCTGACAAAATCATTCCTTTGGCAACTGCCAAATTCTCAGTGCTCCTCAGGGAAAACAGGTGCTTGTTAGAAACATACATCATATGTTTTCTGTCACACACGAATTTTGATTCTCACAATTTTTCTGTTACAATGTAGTGGAAACAGTCAGTAAACTGAACTCTAATGTAACTAAGCCTGAGTATCTCAGGGCACTTAATGCTGCTGTGATACTTGGCTTATTGTGCTGGTATAAATGTCACTTTGAAAGCGTTTAGACAGGTGGATAGGGATTAAAAGGCTGTTGCACATTTTTAGCAGCCCAAATAGGGGCTACCTGCTGGCTTATATCCGCTTTAAATTGGCTTTGTCTGCCACCTCAGAGACCATTGGTTGGTTTGGAGTGTCCGTAAAATGGGCTTTATTAACTTGTCGTGTCATAACCCGGTCATTTCATCACTCGCTTTAATCAGGTACCCTGAGGTATCAGTGGTTTCAGAGGGTTTCTTCCTTCACTAACCTTCCCGTAACAGCTGCATTAAACCCTCAAGTGCAGCCACGAGTATTAATTTCTTATATTCTTTTATACGTAGCATAGAAGTTTCAGCTTCTGTTAGACTTGAAAATGCGGCTTACTGATGGTCTTAAAAGCCAAATTCTGCTTTTACTTCCATCGGTGAGGTCATTAGATTTCAGGGGGCAGGGTGGTGTGCAGGCTTGATCCCAGTCTGCTCCTGCCGGCTGTGCAGTCCCTTCCTCGAAGGTCTGTGGAGAGCAGTTTGCGGGAGGACCGAAGTGTCCGGCTCAGACGGGCGTTGCTGCGCACGGACAGGGCTCGCTCCTCCTGCTCCCAGACCTGCGTGTCAGGTGCGTGCCTGCTCCCCGCCTGACTCGGCAGGGGGTGGGTAAGGTCACCCGTCTGCTGAGAGACAGCCCTTACGGCCAGGCCTCCGGTACCGCCGCAGCCTCTCTTCCCGCAGCTGACAGGAGATGGGTCACACAGCTCTGCTGTACCTGGCGGGCAGGTCACCGCGGGGAGAAACGCGCGCGTGAGAGGTTTGGGCGAGCGGAGGGATCGTATAGCAGGAGCCACGGCACCAGTCTCCCAAGGCAGGTTTGCAGTGCTTCTGTCCCTTCTGTGGAGCCAGCCTGTAGCTCCTACATACTTAGGAAAGGGGCACTTCAGGGTCCTTTGATGTCCAAATCAGTTTTTTCCACATGCCTTCCCACACTCATATCTATGTCGAACACAGAAATTTCTCTGTACCACCACAGTGTTTTAGTTTTCTTCTCCTTTTTATAGAACTGCCCATGGCGTATACTGCTTTAATCTTTTCAAAGCACTTTGCAAAGATAGTAGAGGCACTCAGGGATAATCTCTGTGAGGCCAGTAAATTGGTCACCACCGAAGCACTGAGAGACATGAAACAAGGTGACTGTAATCTGCAGAGGGAGCCTTCCTCTCATTTGGAAGTACAGTGACCTGCAGACACATGAAACAAACCTCAGGAGTTTGCAAAGCCTCTGTCCTTTATTGAAAGATGCCACTGGAGGGAGTAAGGAGGAAACTGCAAGCAGGCCAAGACATTAGTCACTCAGTGTGGTGTGTGAAGACCTGGG